ACAAGAGAACACCACTCACCCTCCCCCACAGCACACATACAAATAAAAGCAAATCTCTCTCAATGTGAACTCTGGAGCTGGTGGCCTCACTGGCCATCATTACTGTGGTAGTTTGAATAAGAATGGCCCCATAAAGTTATATATTTGAATGCTTGGTCGCCAGGGAGTGGCACTATTTGAGAAGGATTAGACAGATTAGGAGGTGTGGCCATCATTATCCATTGCTCCGAGTTTACACATTTTTTTTCCTTAAATTCCCTACCACACACATGTTGATTTATTTGGGTTTTGTTGTTGTTGTTGTTGAGACAGGGTTTCTCTGTAGTTTTGAGCCTGTCCTGGAACTCACTCTGTAGACCAGGCTGGCCTTGAACAGAGATGTGCCTGTCTCTGCCTCCTAAATGCTGGGATTAAAGGCATGTGCCACCCCCCAGCTCACATGTTAATTTTATGAATGCATGTTTATGCATGTGTTTGTGTGTTGGTGGATACACATTCATGTACAGGTGCACATGGAAGCCAGAGGAAAGACTCATGTATCATCTTTTGGAACCCTGGCCACTTCTTTGAGATAGGGTCTGCTCTTGGCCTGGAACTCACCAAGTGAGCAAGGCTAGCTGGCCAGTAGATCCCAGAGATCACATTGTCTCTGTTTCCCCAGTGCTGAGATTACAGCCTTGTACCACTATCCCAGGCATTTTCCCATGGGTTGTGGTGATCAAACGCAGGTCCTCACATTTGGAAGGCAAGCACCCTACTGTCTGCGTCAGCTCCCAGCAAACATTATTTTGAGTGGTGTTGTGATTTGGATATGAAGTGTTCCCCCCACCAGACTCCTTAGTCCAGACACTGGGTCCCTGGGTGCTGAGACTGCAGGGGAGGTTGTGCAGCCTTGCTGATGAGAGGCATGACTAATGGGTGTGTATCACTGGGAGGCAGAACCTTTGAGGATTGTAGCCCTGCCCTGCTTTAGGTCTGGTCTCCTTCCCTGCTTCCGTCTGCTGTCCTGATGTAAGGAACCCTGCTATATAGCCTCATTGCTGGGACCTTCACCATGCCTTCCCTGCCAGGATAGACTGCAGCCACCAGCCACAAATATCTTCCCTTAAGTTTCTATTAGCCATTCTGTCTCAGCGAGGAGAAGAATAACAAACACAAGTGGTTTTTAGTTCTTACAACCCTGTGGCCAGAATGATCCACCCCTCTTCTTTCACTGTGCCCTGTAACCGCCCTGTAGACCAGCAGACAGGCTGTGAGAACCTCCAGGAAAACTGAAACAGACCCAGCTCTTAGTGAAGTGCCTGTCACCTGGAAAGTGCCCAATAAATGTTAATATAGATCATTTCAAAGTCTTTCCTTCTAAGAAGAAAGCATGGTGAGAAATAATGCCCTCACTCGCAAGAAAATTAATGGAATGTGTGTTGCTCTTCACACACTCTTCTGACTATTTCCACAACAAAAGCTGTAGTTTTACCATGGATTAGAAGGTCAAATATTAGCATCCTGCAGGCTAGCAATTGAAAGGGTTTACTTTATATTCCCACCAGCAGGGGGCAGAAGAAGCCATCCAGCTTTAGCATTTCCTCCGACAATGAACTTGGTCAGTTTGATAACTGTTTCCCAATAGACAGCTGGGGGGGAATTGTGCTTTTGATATGCTTTTCTTTGTCTACAAATTTTTCCCGTATTAGTTATTTATTACATAAATGTGTAACTTTCTCAGGAGCGTTTTTTTCCTTGTGTATTTTCACCATGGATATCTGTGACTCTCAGATCTATGTTTCTGATTTTAACCTTTCAGTTCAGTCATCTTCACACCCTGCATACCTTCGTCCTGCACTTCACTTCCTATCACTGTGACAACAGCTTTTGAAGGGTTGAAGTGGAGAAGGGCAGTTGGAGGGCCATGCTTTCTGGGGTGTCGCTGACCATCGCCGGCTGCCATCCAGCCGAATTAACGGACCATTCCAACACTAACTACTTCATAAGCTTGAAATTGTCCTTCTGAGTAGTGTGCCTTTGCGTTATCCCACTGTCTCCTGCCCGGAACACATAAATCGCCCCTTTGTTTGGAATATCTACATTGTATGCACTAGCCCCCGTAGGGGAGAGGACAGACAGATACGGACACACAGAGAGACAGATGGCTTCATGCGACTTTCATTTCAATACATTCGTTGTGATTGTTCTGTTTGATTCGTAGTTATTGTTAATGCCTGACTCTGCATGACATACGAATTGAGTGTTAACATGGGCATGTATTTACAGGAAAACAGAATGTATGTGAGCTTCAATGCCACTGCAGCTTTAGGCCTTGCTGGACTCTTAGAGCATCACCCACAGATCAGAGAGTCCCTCACTCTAACACCTGGAGGACGGTCTACATCATACCTGTCACCTGAGCATACCCATGAGCCTGGTTATTACTTCCCAACAGTTACTCACTTAACTACCCTGGGAAAAGTTCTTTGTCTAACAAACAGCAACGATAGACAGTCCCATTCACTCCCAAGGCCAGGCAGCCAGTGGAGAACAGGGCAACCCCCTGGGTGTCTGTCTCAGGTAGGTGACAGGTATTGATCTCAGCTAACAAACCTGGCCAGAGAGAGTGCCATTCCTACAGCTACAAGAAAAGAGGCATCGGGAAGCAAGGAGCAGGTTGAGGACTGAGACACCTGGTGGGTAGGCAGCCTAAGTATGTGTCCTCGGGTGCTCCTGGAGATTGCTGGCCGAGCTGGGAGTGCTGGTTCTGTGAAGGGACAGTTTCTGTGGTGAACTTTCCCAATTTGAGTTGTTAGCCACTATCACGCTAGGGGTGATGTGGTGTATGCTGGTGAAACTGTTTGCACCCCCATCTCTACAGTTAGACTGCTGATACCAGTTTTGCTCACTGGTGTACATGGGGCCAAACAGAATGAATTCATTTTTTTTCCTTTCAGCAGGAAAAAAATCTCTGGGGCTGAGGAAGAGACTCCATTGATAAAGTCCCTGCCGTGCAAGGGTGAGACCTGTATTCGGATCCCCATGTATGAAGCTAGATGTGGAGCATGTGCCCATCAACCCAGAGCTGAGGGGAAGGCGTGTGGAGGCCAATAGATGCCTGAAGCTCATTGGCTGGCCAGCCTTGCCAAATCAGTGAGCTTCCAGGTCCGTGAGCAGCTCTGTCTGAAAACATAAAAGTAGACAAAACTAAGCAGGCATGAAAAATCTTTATGGATTGCAACTTAAAATTTAACTTAAGAGGGAATTAATTTTATAAGCAAAGGAGAAAAGCCATTGAAGAAAGCTACCTGGCAGCTGACTCTAGACTCCTCATGCATGCCAATTCACAAGCACGTATGCACATCTCTGCACTAAGACACCAACAAGTAAATACACCACACACATAACACAGCACACATCTCCATATTCCTGAATGACTGCCATCATGAAAGTATTTTTAAGTGGTAGGGACTGGGTAAGGGAACGCAAGGCCCTGAGTTCCCAACAAGAACAAAATAAGAAGATTTTTCTTATCATGTGACCCAGAAATCCCTAGGTTGGTCATAAAAAAAAACCAAAAAAAAAAAAACCCCAAAAAACAAAAAACTCATGTAGGACAAAGTGGCACTGACTTTTAATCCCAGCATTCAGGAGGGAGAGGCAAGCAGATCTCTGATTTTTAAACCATCCTAGCCTACATAGGATGCCCAGAGCTATATAGTGAGACCCTATCTCAAACAAACAAAACTATCCACCTAGAAGATCTTTATGCTAAAAAATTAAATTCTCGGTGCTGAGAAAAGGCAAGGGCAAACAAGGTCTGTGATGGGAGTAGGCCATACCCATCCACCGAAGCCACACCTCCTAATAGTGTGCCACTCCCTATGAGATTAGGGGGGACAATTACAGTCAAACTGCCCCATTCCACTCCCTGACCCCCATAAGATGCTAACATGTGAAATGCATTTAGACCAACTCCAAAAATCATTATAGTCTATAAAAGTCGCAACAATATTTAAAAGTCCAAAGTTCAAGTCTCTTCTGAGATTCATGCAATCTCTTAACTATAATCCCTGTAAAATCAAAGTAAAAAAAAAACAGATCAGATACTTCCAACATATAATGTATATAATGGATATACATTACCATTCCAAAATACAGGGAAGGGAGCAAAGTGAGGAAATACTGGACCAAAGCAAGACCAGAAACCAGCTGTGCAAGCTCCAAACTCTGCATCCTCATGTCTGATGTCAAACCCCTCTTCAGAGCGCCAACTCCTTTCAGCTTTGTTGGCTACAGCACACTTCTTTCTCTTGGGCTGGTTCCACTCCCTGTTAGCAGCTCCCCTTGGCAGGTATCCCATGGCTGTGGCATCCCTAACATCTTGGGCTCTCCAAGGCAATCCAGGCTTCAATTTCACAGCTTGATGCAATGGTCTCTCTGCTAGGCCTCCATTCAGGGTCACCCCTAACACATGCCTGGTCTCAGCAGCTTTCTTTAGGCATGGAGGCAAATTCCATAACCGTTTCTTCTATCCTTAACTTTAAAACCAGAACCATGTGGCTGAAGGTGCCAAGTTCTGGGGATGAAACATGGCTTCTCATTCAATTACATCTTCACCAGCTTTCACTGCCTAAGCTTGGATGTCCTGAAACTTGCTTTGTAGACCAGGCCAGTGGTGTAGAAGGTCCTTCTTTCTATGTGTTGCTTATTATTGGTTAATGAATAAAGAAACTGCCTTGGCCTGATAGGGCAGAATTTAGGTAGGCAGAGGAGATGGAAGTGAATGCTTGGAGAAAGAAGGGTGGAGTCAGGGAGATGCGATGGATCCACTGGAGACAGGTGTTGGGAATTTTACCTGGTAAGCCACTGCCACGTGGTGATACACAGATTAATAGAAATAGGTTAAATTAAGATGTAAGAATTAGCCAATAAGAAACTAGAGCTAGTGAGCCAAGCAGTGATTTAATTAATACAGTTTCTGTGTGGTTATTTCAGGGCTAAGCTAGCTGGGCAACTGGGATGAACAAGCGGCTCCTCCCTCCTACAGAACAGCCTCAAATTCAGAGATCTACCAGCCTCTGCCTTCCCAGTGCCAGGATTAAAGATGTGTTCCACCACACCAAACTCTATGTAAGCTTTTTCTTAGTTCCTTTTCACAAGTTTGAAATTTAGCGGGGTGGGATCTTGCCCTGAGGTCTCCACTCCCTTTATTCTATTTCTTAATCTGTTTATCTCCTTGCACACAGAATTTAGCACAATTTCACTTTCTGGTGCACTTTTTTCTCCCCAAATATTTTTTCTTGCTCACCTTGTTCCTTTTCATTACAGAATTAACACTAGTAACCACAAATCAGAATCAATATTAGGCTATTTTGAGTTTTACTTTGCCAACAGAATTAATCTGAAACTACTCATTTTAGCCTTAGGCAGACTCTTCAGACAAGGGCAAAAGGCAGCAACTTTCTTCACTAAAATATCAGAAGAACAATCTCCAGGCAATATACTAAAATCCTTCTTCTCTGAAACCTCTTAACCCAGCACTGGACAGTTCATCAAAACACACTCAGCACCACTGTCTTCCATGTTCCTGTTAGTATAGCCCATTAACAGTACTTAAAAGCATCCCATTGCTTTCCTAGCCCAAGTACCAGAGTCCAAATTCCCCCAAACAAAACATATTCAAGCCTATCACAGCCATACTCCATTCCTGGTAACAACATTATCTCAGTTTGGGTTTCTGTTGCTGTGAAGAGACACCATGACCATGGCAGCTCTTATAAAGGAAAACATTTAATTGGGGTGGCTCGCTTACAGTTTCAGAGGTTCAGTCCATTATCATCATGGCGGGGAGCATGGCAGTGTGCAGGCAGATGTGATAATGCAGGAATAGCTGAGAGTTCTACATCTTGCAGGCAACGGGAAGTCAATTGAGACACCGGGCAGTGTCCTGAGCATAGGGAACCTCAAAGCCTGCCCCCACAGTGACACACTTCCTCCAGCAAGGCTATGCCCACTCCAGCAAAGCCACACCTAATAGTGCCACTCCCTGTGAGATTATCAGGACCAATAACATTCCCACTACCACAGCCTCATATTGAAAGCTGACAGATACTGAGGGCTGACTATGTGTGACAGCTGGGGTCACTGCCTTCTTATTCATGCCTATTGTGGACACTACACACCAGTGACAACATTTCTTTTCTGGGAAGGTGTCCACAAGATTGCTTCTACACCAGTGAGAATCTGTGTGTCATTTCCTGAGACACTTGACACCTGCTTTTAACATGTACCAAACCCCACAAAGATGGAATACAGAACTGTGTTCTGGAAAGGAAATCACCAAGTTTAGGAAACTCAAGTGGTCCACGTTGGCACTGGGAGATAAGTTCCCACACACATAAGTCAACTGGGTTCTGAGCCTCCCTGTTACAGGTTGAATCCAGAGTGTCCCCCACAAAGTACATGTTTAAGTACTTGCTCCCCAATAGTGGCACTACCTTGAGGCCATGGGAATAGTCAGAAGTGGGTCACTAGCGCAGGGTCTTTGAAGATAATAGCTTACCTGTGCTTTCTTAGCCATAATGCACTGCAACCCTCTGTAACTGAGCCCTGCCCACAATTTTCCTGGTATAAGCTCTTGCTCAGGTGTTTATGGTCACAACAATGTAAATATGTAATGGTCAATACATCCCCTTTGTTCATCGCCCCAAGACCAGCATCCCAGCTCTTGAGGACACCCCTCAATCTCAATTAAAGAAAAATGATAGGGCAGAACTTAGGTAGGCAGGGGACAGAACTGAATTCTGGAAGGAAAAAAGCAGAGTCAGAGAGAGAGCTGCCATGGAGCTGCCAGGTCAGACATGCTGAATCTTTCCCAGTAAGCCACTACCTCGTGGTGATATACAGATTACTAAAAATGGGTTAAATCAAGATGTGAGAGTTAGCCAATAAGAGGCTAGAGATAATGGGCCAAGCAGTGATTTAATTAATACAATTTCTGTGTGGTTTTTTTTTGGGGGGGGGGGTGTAAACTAGCCGGGCGGCCAGAAAAAACAAGCAGGCCCTCCTTGTAACAATTACTGTGATAAAACACCATGACCAAGGCAACTTATAGAACAGAGGGTTTATTTGGGGTTTATGATTCTAGAGGAATTAGAGTTTCGCACCATCACAGTGGGAAAGTCCACAGCAGTAGGCATGGTAGCTGGACCCCCAAGCCGAGAGTTCACATCTTAAACCCCAAACAGGAAGCAGAGAGCAAACTCCAAAGGGCAAGAGTTTTTAAACTCTAGAAGCCTGTCTGCGGTGATGCACTTCTTCCAACAAGACCACACCTCCTAAGCTTCCTCAAACGGTGCCGTGAACTGGGGACCAAATATTCCAATGTCTGAGAACACTGGAGACATTGCATTTAAACCACCACATGTTCTAACCTTAAAACGACAATAAAGTAAGAACTACTGGACTGGGAAGATGGCTCAGCATCTTTGTTTGTTTTGGAGCCTGTCCCTGGAACAAGCTCTTGTAGACCACACTGGCTTCAAACTCACAGAGATTCGCCTGCCTCTGCCCCCCACCCCAATGCTGGGATTCAAGGCGTGCGCCACCACCACCTGGCTGGGAAGATGGCTCACTGAAGTGCTTTCTGCACAAATATGATGACCCAAGTTGAACCCAAGTTCTTTACATAGAACCCATGTAAAGATGCACTGGTGATCTCAGCCCTGGGGAGACAGAGAGAGAGAGGGGGAGAGAGAGACAGAGACAGAGACAGACAGACAGAGAGATTGTTAAAGTCTTATGACCTTAACAGTTTTCTGAATCCTTCAAGACATTGCTGATTCAGGCTCAGCTGCCTAAGACTGCCCCATGCAAGGAGCCTCTGAGGGGCGGTCCTGTGACAGGACTGTCTGTCTCCGGATTCAAGTTCACTGGCAAACCCCCAGAGCAGCACTGTTAAAACTGTATCTTACCTCCCTTTGATCTGCAGAGGAGAAATCTAATATGTGGGTGACCAGGGGCCTCAGACAGAAGTCAGCCTGCGGTCACTGGGAAGGGTAGAGAGGAGCAGGAAGCTGTTTCAGCGGCTCACAATGGCCACTCTGTGGCCCAACAAAGGCCTGCCCTCCTGAGTGATGCCTGACCTTTAAACTCCCACAAACATATGTATTTGCTCAGCAATTACAATTTAAACAACTGAAGGGGCTGTGTAAACCCTTGTATCAAAGGAACACATGAAAGCTTGCCAGGATCCCATAACAAAAGGAGGCAGAACAACACTGGCTCTCCTCGGAAAGCACAGGGGTCTCCTCCCCAGTGCACACTTTCCCTCAGAGACCCCGTGTTTCGTGACTAGGATGACAAAAGGCAGGCTCAACCCCTAATAATAGAAGCTGAAAATCTGCAGGCTAAAAAGCCTGTGTGAGATGGGAAGTTCTTTTTTTTAATTAATTATTCCACTCTCTCCCCTCCTCCTGCTCCCCCCACCTTCCCCCACCCCATCCCTCATCCACTCCTCAGAGGGGGATAAGGCTTAAACGATTTTTTTTTAAACAAAGAACTTTTTCTTAAAGATTTATTTATTTATTATGTATACAGTGTTCTGCCTGCATGTATGCCTGCAGGCCAGAAGAGGGCATCTCATTACAGATGGTTGTGAGCCACCATGTGGTTGCTGGGAATTGAACTCAAAACCCTTGGAAGAGCAGGCAGTGCTCTTAACCGCTGAACCATCTCTCCAGCTGAGATGGGAAGTTCCTTAATGAAGAAAACTGAGGCGATGTGGCTAATGCCATTCTTTAGGCAAGGGGGCCACATATGCCTTCCTGTGGTGTGTGTGCACATCTGTGCACATGTGTTGGGCACACACGCACACATATGGAGGCCAAAGAACAAGCTTAAGTGTTGTTAATCAGTCATCATCCACTTCTTTTTTTTATTAAAAAATTCTTGTTTTCTTTTTTTTGGGGGGGTATGTAAAGGGAGGGGAGAAGAGAGAGAGAGAGAGAGAGAGAGAGAGAGAGAGAGAGAGAGAGAGAGAAACAGAAGGGGAAAGGGGAGAAGTGGGGAGAGACAGAAGCTGCCTCTTTGAGGGAGATGGAAAAGGACCACCATCCACTTCTTTCTTTCTTTCTTTTTCTCTCTTCCTATCTCTTTGTCTTTCTCTCTTTCCCTTCCTTCCTTTCGAGACAAGGTCTCTAACTGGCCTGGAACTCAGGGATCTGCCTCTCTGCCTCCCCAAACCGCACCACCATGTCCAACTTTTGTTTTTCATTTACATGATCAGTGACAGGAGTTAGGCAGATCCTTGACAGGCAAGGCAGATAGGGGCCGGGCCATGACTAGGTAGGCAAAGATGGTTGGCTTCTTCCTCATATTCCTGACCAGAGACAGAGGCTCAGGATGTATTTATGCCAAAGTTGTGGGCCTATCATCTGCCCTGTCTCTGTTCAAACTGATCAACCCTAATTTAGGGAATGAAGAGTCTTAAAATCCCCAGTTTCAGTTTCTTGAGTACAGAGGGTCTTTCTGTGTGTGCTTGCTGTGTATATGTGTGCATGCGTGTGGGCATGCATGTGTGCCTGTGCGAACACGAATGCACATGTGTGCTTCCTCGCCTCTAATAAAGCCTTTCTTCACTGACTGATTCTGTCCCCTGCTCCTACTGGTGCTCCAGAGTTTTCCCGCCTTTTCATTCTTTAACTGACAGAGAAAACAACCCCAATCATAGACAGAAACAATGATTTCTGGGGATGGAACTTGGCCCCTCATGCTTGCAGGGCAAGCACTTTACCAAACCCAGCCCCTTGCTGTCTTTATGAACATTACACAACACACCTGTGCTATGAACCTCAGAGACCCTTTCCTCAGTTTTACAGTGTGGTGGCAGCTCCCCTCCCTAATGGCTATATATTTCAAGAACTATTTTGAGGAAAGAGAGAAATTTGAGAAATACTGGGGACAAAGTTCCCTCAATGCTGGAGTGGCAGCGTAAGCTGGCAAGCTGCTTTGACAACCCCTTAGTTGGTGAGGCTGGAATGGACTCAATGCTTGGTCATACTCAGCCACAACAGACAGCATGGGCTGCGAAGTTTCATCTACAGCAGAGGGGATCCATGATGGACAGCAAT